GATTATTTGGGTTAATTCCCTATGAAAATTCGTAACGCATTAACTACTAATGTGGTAAGACCAAAAGTGGTAAAGGTAGAAACGAAAAAAAGAGGAACAATGGTTGCTTTGAACCATTAGTCTAAATCATGAACAATGCTAGTCAATGAACGGTCAGGGCCGGCCTAATGGCCAAGCAAGTAAAGCAACTGCTTAGGGCTCATTATTTGTAGGGGCTCCAAAATTTTCTGATATTTAATGTATTTGTCCATTTGTTTTAATAATATTAAGTATTTGAAAAGAAAAAAAAATGCAAGTTTGACGTTGGAGAACAATTGGAAAAGGAATCTATTTTGGGAATTCATGTCCCACGCGTGAACATCCCACTAGGTTGTCTAATTTATCTACCATTATTATTATAAAATGGGCCCACATTCTTTATCTTTTTTTTATCTTTCTCTGCAAAGCCTTGTATGGACTCTACATTCCAAATTTCAAATCTCATTCAGTTACTACCTCAAAATAAAATAGCATAACACAACTACACAAGTACCATCTGTTTAATTTGCTCTCAAGTATTTTGGTCTTACATCAAGAATTTTGAAGTAGCAAAAGCTTATCAAATTATCTATTTGTTGTCTTGTTGAATAAGGTTTGATCGTTCTATATTTTATTATTTGTATCTACTTTTTATTTTTGGGGGGATATATTTTCTTTATAAGTATATATTGATATTTTAGTTATTTATTAGAGTTTTAATATGTCAACTAGAAAATATGAATCCGGATGTTCAAAACGTCAAAAAAGAAAAAGGATTGAAACTCTAGTACAATCCCAAAAAGAAGCACTTGATAAATTTATAGCGAATATTAAAAAATTTAAATCAGAAAATGTGAAAGATTTTATGATATATGAACAAATCACTAATATAATTGAGATAGGCAATAATAAAATTCAAGAAGAAGAGGAAGGAGGAGAAGTTGTGGAGAAACCTAACATATATCCTCAAGAAAAACAAGAAGTTCTAAATAAGTTGGATAATTATACTCTCAGGAACATATATGATCCTAGTCAATGGACTAGTATAGATACAAAATTGAGAGATCTATTAGTAGAAAAGGGGCTAATTAAAATTACTAAAATATATTTTTCAAAGGATAAATTCTTTAGATATTTTTCTACTACAAATTATATTCAAAAATTGGCTAGTGGAGAAAGACATGAAAGAAGATAGTTAGTTTACTCTAAAGATTTGGATACGGTATTTTGTTTTTGTTGTAAGTTGTTTAATACTAATTCTAGCTTTTGTAGCAGTAAATTAGCTATTAATGGTAGTAATGATTGGAGAAATATAAGTGCTCAAAGCTCATGAAACATCAAAAGAACATATTATTAATATGGGTGCATGGATTGATTTAGAAATAAAATTGCACAAAAGTAAAATAATTAATAAAGATGTTCAAGAACAAATCAATAGAGATAGAGAGCACTGAAAAAATATATTATCAAGAATTATTGTTGTGATAAAAACTCTTGAAAAAAATAATTTGGCATTTAGGGGAAAAAATGAAAAGAACTATCAAGAAAGTAACGGAATTTTTTTGAGTCTAATTGAAATGATTGCAGAATTTGATCCAATCATGGAGGAACATGTTCGCCGAATTAAGCATGATGAAATCCATAATCATTACCTTGGACATAATATACAAAATAAATTGATAAATTTATTAGCTAGTAAAATTAAGAATAAAATTATTGACAAAATTATAGAAACAAAGTACTTCTCAATCATACTTGATTGCACTCCAGATGCAAGTCATCAAGAACAAATGTCTTTTATATTACGGAGTGCCGACATCACTGTAACTCCAGTAAGAATTACTGAATATTTTTTAGAGTTTTTAAAAGTTGATGACACAAGTGGAAAAGGTCTTTTTGAAGTTATTGTAGATGAGATAAAAAATATTGGACTTGATATTGATAATTTAAGGAGGACAAGGATATGATAATGGATCCAATATGAAGGGAAAACACCAAGGAGTGCAAAAAAGACTGCTCGACATAAATCCTAAATCATTTTATACACCATGTGGTTGTCATAATCTAAATTTGGTACTTTGTGATATGGCTAATTCTTGTGCCAAAGCTATATCATTTTTTGGAGTAGTACAACGCATATATTCACTATTTTCTTTTTTTAACTAAGCAATGAAATTTTTTAAAAGATAATGTACCTAGCCTAACTCTTAAATCATTATCACAAACGCGTCGAAAAAGTCGTATTAAAAGTATTAAAGCAATACGATTTCAAACTCTACAAATAAGAAATATTTTATTAAAATTAGTAGAAGTTAGTGAGGATCCAAAAACTAAAAGCGAAGCTAGTTGTTTAGCAACTTATGAGTTTGAAATTTTTGAGTTTTTACTGGGTATGACTATTTGGTATGATATACTATTTGCAGTTAATTCAGTTAGCAAACATTTACAATCAAAAGGTATGGATATTGATGTTGCCATAGATCAACTTAGAGGTTTGATTTCTTTTTTCAAAAAATATAGAGAAGAAGGATTTGCAACTATCATGATTTCTGCTAAGGAAATTGCATATGAGTTGAATGTAATAAACGTGTAATATATAGAAAGAAACAATTTGATGAGAATGTTGATAATGAAATTATAAAATCTCTTGAAGAATCTTTTAGAGTTGATTACTTCTTATACATAGTAGACCAAGCTATTTTTTCACTTCAAAGTAGATTTGAACAATTTGAAGCATATGAAAATATTTTTGGTTTCCTATTTAGTGGCAAAAAGTTGAGATCTCAAGATGATGAGAACTTAAAGAAAAACTGTCTTAACCTTGAATGTTCTTTGAAACATAATAGTAACTCTGATATTGATGGTTTAGACTTATTTTATGAATTAAAAGTTTTAAGGGAAATAATACATGTAGAAGATAATACTCAAATCGATATACTTAATCATATAAAAAGACTTGATTCTTTTCCAAATGCTTATATTGCTTATAGAATAATGTTAACAATTCCTGTAACAGTTGCCTCTGCGGAAAGAAGTTTTTCAAAATTAAAATTAATAAAATCTTACTTAAGATCAACAATGTCTCAAAATAGATTAAATGGATTAGCTATATTATCAATTGAAAAAAAATTATTACAAGAAACCGATTACAAACAAATTATTAATAATTTCGCATCTCAAAAAGCTAGAAAAATAAATTTCAAATAAAAGTATGAGTTTTCTTCTACAACAAAAATCTTAGGGCCGCTTATTGAAGTTTGACTTTAGGCCACAAATATCATTGAGCCGCCCCTGAATGAACGAACCAACACGCTGTCAGCTAGCCATGAATTTGTCATGCTTGTATATATACTAGCAGGGGAATGCCGGTGCTAAGCACCGGCCCAAGCCCAACAATAAACTTCTACAGTTAATTAAAGGAAAAGGAAGTGTTGCAGCAAATCAGGAGTCCACATTTATTTTTTTAATCCTTGAAGTCTATGCTGCCTATATCCTTCATTAAATGGACGTAACTGCTGCAATTTATGGATGAATTATATTATTATAGAATTAAGAGGAAAGAAGCAAGCATGCACCAACAATGGGAGCTGGCAGAAGCAAACTAAACACGTAAGAGGTCTATTTGTTTTATTTGCATTCTGATTTTAGGGTAGAAACCATGTTGGGTAACTGCTAAACTACTACTGGTGTCGTGGTGTGTTGCTGTCATGATGTCCTACTGCCTGAGGCAGTTCTTCCATCAGGAATCTAATGGTTTTGCCTTTCTGGCCTACAAAAAAAAAACTCTATACTTTCAAAAGAAATCTGAATATCTATTTGGATGAAACACGTGATGTATTGGTTTCAACTTCAATAACATCAATATTAGCATCAGATCATATTTACACGACAAAGTAGTCAAAAAAGAGAGTGAAAACAATGAAGGAGTAAAAGGCAATTTTATACTCGTGAAGCAGCATCCTTGAATATGGAATTTTGTTCACATAATATATGAAGTTATTTATAAAATTTGAGTGGTAGGCGTCAAAGATGCACTGGTGATGATTCAGTACATACCAGAGTCATCTTACTTCCAATAATTAAGCATTTAAAGTAATTTTGCACAAGAGCACAACACTATTTGCTATTGCGTACTTTTATATATACCATATGTGAAGAAGGCATAAGTGCAGTGTCTAGTGAAACCATTAACATATAAATATTACAGACATAATACCGGAAAAAATACATAAACTGTTTGTATCTTCAGTACAACACAACCCATAAGCCTCAATCCTGGTTTTGCCTCTGAGCTGGAGCTGTAGTACTAACCTTAGTAGCCAATTTTTATGGAACACAACCCATAAGCCTCAATCCTGGTTTTGCCTCTGAGCTGGAGCTGTAGTACTAACCTTAGTAGCCAATTTTTATGGAACACAACCCATAAGCCTCATATTGTATTTTGAACATTAGTGAGTTACTCTACCCTTGCATATACTAAAATATAATATGAATTTCCTAAATGTTCAAAATAAATGTAGCTGGAACACATTAAAAGAAACTTTGACTGGAAAAATCGCTGCAGGAAAATTCTACCTCAAAGTGCTTAGGTTAAGCTAGAAGAAATTTGAAAAGTTAACATATGTAATGTCATATTGCTTATTGAAAAGTCTCTCGACAACTAAACCAAGATGAAATAGATGTAAATATCTACTAAGATCAACTAATCTCATATAATTAAAGGCAAAACTAGTTTGAACTAACGTAAAATAAAGTGGCACATTGCTTTACCTGTAAATGTAGAACACTGAGGCAACCAAAAACTTTCATAACCAGCATAATCATCCTCCCTAGTTCTTAATGATCGATCACCACCACCACATAATGCTTTTGTAGCCTGCATCAACTCATTCTTAAAAATAGCGCATGTTGGCAGTGATACATTCCCTTTTCATTCACAAGTTCACTCGATTAACTTACATTAGAAATAATATTGTGAAGAGTAGGGGGAATGAGACTTTAGCATTCAATTGAGAACCCAAAAAGGTTTTCTTTTTCAGTAGCAAAAGATCCCCAAAAAAGGTTGATACTTCCTGACTTTGGAAAACATAAGTTAGTGCAAAAAAAAGACAATCAGAATTGTAAGGAAGGAAGCATAATCTAAGCTGCATAATATTATAATCACATCAATTTAGAAGTCAGAGAATATAAGTAATCTCAATCCTCAACTACAGATACTTTGGGGGACTCAATCTTCTAGCTTCAGCCTTGTGCTTAGAAGATTCAGATATCACAACCGCTGCTTCCATTTCTACCTCATTAGTACTTAGAAGCTTGAGTTTCTTTTATGTTTCCGCCAATACCCGGTGGAAAGATGTGTTCCTTTTCTACGTAGGACAAAATTGATAGACTTGCACGCATATTGTTAGAACTTCTCCAGGATGATTTTTCCCAAATGAATTCTGAAAATGCAAGAAGCCAAATTTTAGATCTAAATTACCCGGTAAAATGAAGCTAAAATGAAAGTATAATATATGCATATTTTACATTCTAAAAATGATTCAATCATGGCCCACATAGCTTCAATAGAAACAACAAACTGAGAACATTTATAAAGTACAATAATACAAATAAATAACCAATGTAAAGCATTTTTTCAGCTAGATTACCAGAAATAATTGTAGTTGTCGAGCCACTACCATCAGTAAATCAATTTGGAATGTGCACCTGCAAAAAGATAGTTTAATATCTGTAAATATGTGATCTATTTTCTTAAAATGAAACTTATAAGCATGGCAAAACCATAATATCGATGAACTTATTTGTCCATTGTTTAAAATGGGTGCAGTCAAATTCCCTTCTTTCCTTACATAAAACTTCTGCATGTCATTGGATATTTATATTTCTGCCTCAACATGAAAAATCCCACTCTCAACGAAAAGAAAATCACATGTTGGTTATCTATGTTATATAAATAAACTTATACAGATTTGGATATCTACTAAACTTACAGAAGTTTTTGACAGAATTTCTGCAATGGGTATAATTCGTTGTTGAACAGGAAACACTGTGAGAGAGGCGGAAGACCGTAAGTAGCTGCGTGATGCATAACTTGCAAACATGTATATGTTTGTTTTTGCCCTGTCGTCACAACATATAGGGTATTTCAATATCAATATGATGTGCAGATTAACTTTAAAGAATAATACTAAAGATCCTATACCAATTGATCAGCTCCAACGCTAGTGGATAAGCGGGATCTATTTTGTTGTTGAGTTGAATCTAGTTTGCGGTGATAAACCAGTATATACCACGATCTTGGTGTAATGTTGTACTTTGAAAAGATATATATGAGGGGACAAATTTGAGTACACTAATACCCTAATAAAGAGATATTCCTATTCTCCTAGCAAGAATTATAGGATATTCTTCATACACTAAACTACATTCACACGGCCAAGTACATATAAAGCAGCATCTCCCTGTCGTTTTAGTACATAAATTAGAAAGAAAAGAAGGAAAAAGAGAAGAAGATGGTGGCCATTAAACCCGTGAAAATTCTTCAAAAAAAAATGGTCGTACTCAAGATTAGAAAATGCTATTGAAGATACAGAACAAATAATCTAATGCAAAGGGAAGCCCAGCAAAGACAATGAACCCGTCAGAACGACTGCTATGCAACAATTTCTATCCACTGGTGCTTTCACTATGGTTCTATCAACTTCTCGATGAATCGGAAAATACCCGTTAAATGAAGGGGTCGATTAGGGCAGAACAATCAAGAACTTCAGCCATATTCATTACTGAAATACTTGTTTAAAATGTTGTTAAGGCTTTGTATAAATGTTTGGCTATGCACACACCAGAAAAGAATAATAAAAAAATCAAAAAAAATTGCAGAAAATCCAGAAAAGTCCTGAAGACTGTTCAAACAGATCATTGAAAGACCAAAACTAACAAATCTCAGAATATGGTGAAACCCAAATAAAAAAAAAGGAAAAAACCACCAGTTGCTAGAACTTTGAAGCAACCAAAGGAGACGAAAAGTGGAAAAAGAGAATAATCTTGTCGAGTTCTTCTAGGAATAATAACTTTTGAGGTTAAGTTTTATTTAAAATGTCAGATTTGTATTTATCAAATGTTCAAAATCATACATCTAGGTATCAATTTCCAAACATGCATAGATTAAAAAGAAAGTGGAAGAAGAAGAATACCGGAGAGCTGAGCGAAGTAACAAAAAAGTCTCCTCTCAGATTCAGCAGCTTCCGATGAAAATAGTGAAAGAGCAATTGCAGGCAAAATCAGTAGAGGCATAGGATTGAGAACTGGGCTCGTTTATGAAAAAGCTAATGAAGAACACTGTTAGAATATGAGCGGGGATTCGATATTAACAAAGGAGCGAATGTAAATACTGTTAAACCCCCAATTGGCAAAGCTTTTGTCATAAAAGGTAGGGGCAAAATTGAGAAAACAAAAGCAGAATTTATTTTTAAAATATCAAATTTACCCATGTTCATATCCTTGTTTGTACACCCAACTCTCATTTCTAAATAATAGTAATATTTAGACAATTAGTTTTTGCCTCATAAAAATATATGGTACAATTTCCCTTGTAACGAGAGTTGTAATGAGAATTACCAAAAGATTTTTCACCAAAGAAAATTCAACCTTGTAAGATATAAATTAGTATTGCAAGCTTTTGTATCTATCATTTCATCGAGACCCCGATCTTGCTCTTTTGAGAAACCATCACTGGCAATATTTAAGTCAGTTATTGCCAATATTTTGCCATTTGTGATATAACTTGTTTTCTTTAATTGTTAGGCTGCTTACGATAATTGATTGGCCAGATCCTTAGAAACTAGACTTAATTTATCTTGTTAACTCCGTTTTAGTTTTTGTGATGGTAAATAACATAGGGGTCGAGAATTGTTGTCCTTACTGTTTATTGTTGTCTATTTTTTGGGGATTTTTACACAAATAGCCGGTCATATTCATTGTTTATTTAATCTAGTCATATACATAATTTATAAATTGATTATACATAATTATACACATATAATATACCTCTACAGATTATTTTTAATTTAAGCGGTTGGGTGAGCGGCTATTTGGATTAATTCTTCATTTTTTTTTGTTTTTTGGGTAAATTGGAAGGAGACCTTTGAAAGCAGCTTGCAATATCAACAATGACTGGAATTTTGCAAATTTCGTACTATTATTAATTTGGACTTAAAATTTTAATTTGATGGTTCAATCCTTAGGTTCTTATTATTAATTCATTTTAGAAATTACTGTCAGAATTTGGTATGTATTTTTTACAACATAAGTGATTTTTAAAGTATATATTTGTGCTCCTTGTCACACCCCTTTTTTACCCCAAAAAAGATATATGCATTTTATCGATTGTTGTGGATTAAAGAATATTTTCATTTAAAGTGACAAACTTGAATATGGATTGTTTTATTTACAGAGTAGCCACTTGGAATTGAGTTTTTGGGTGTTCCAAGTCACCTTTTATTTAAATCTCTAGTCAAAGAAATGTTTGACTATATTATTATTAGTCTGGAAAAATAAAGTCCGGGTAAGTAATTATGTTGACCGGGAAGAAGGTGTAAGGCATTCTCCGAATCTCGTGATTCTAGCACAGTCGCTTTATTGACTACATTTGACTTATATTATTTTTGGATAACCTGTGTTTTATTGGTTCTCATGTTTTACCTATGTCCGCTTTTATTACTTGATTATTAGGATTACTAAAGAATGACTTGGAGAATATTACGTTGTCATGACCACGCTACGCAAATGAATGCGTGATCGAAAACGAAATTAATTAACTTATCAGAATGGCGCCTCGCAAGCGAATCCGGAATCGTGACAATCAAATAATTATAGTACTTTTGAGAAATTACTACATTTGTGATTAAGGAAATTAGTTTAGAAAATTATTAAATGACACTATCGCGCTACGCAAGTGAATTCGCGATTAGAAAAGAGATTAATTAAATTAGGAAATAATTAAGCTATTGAGATTATAGAATTAATTTACTAAATATTAAACATCACGCTACGCAAGCGAGTCCATGAATAAAAAAAATTAAAGTGCGCCTACTAGTTGCCTAGAGATATTGTTAATTATTTTTTCTAAACTAATTTTGAGATTATTGTAAAGTCATGAGGTATGAAATTTATTGTGGAGGAAGTATATCACTTAGATATTATTGCAGTTGATGGGATTATCAACTTTACAAGTAATTAACGAACTAAAATTAAGGGAATCGTAGAGTTAGACTAGCTCGTTTACCTAATCTCACACATGCTTTCTTTACCAAAAAATCAAATCAAACCCACAACAAATAATAGTTCAAAAGCAAAACCCAATTCTTGTTATCATCACTTTATCAACTAAAACTCCCATGGCCCATTTCAATTATTTTTATACTTCAGTTGCCATAAAATTAATATAATTATAGTACCACTCTAAACATGAATAATCACTTCCAAAGTAATACTAGAAAATAACGTGTATTCTTACCCTGGTTAAACATAAGTAAGCATCTACATACACTGATAATATTCAAAAGCAAAATAACATAAGTCAAAAGCCATATATCATTCCTAACATGTATCATTTAGATACCACAATTTATCTTTACATTTCACCTACCAAACAAGAGAGAAGATCCCAATCATAAACATTTAAACCATTTCTAAACAAATATGCAAAATATTCAATAACTTAAAATCTAAAGATGCCAATATTTCTAACCAAAGACCAAATCGACACATACAAGATTATGATTACGACCACAATTTATTCAAGCATAACTCAAGCTAATATAAACTAAGCTATGAATTTTCTTTTTCAAAAAAATAAAAATAAAACTTCAGATTTAAGAGTAAAAGGATGGACCTTAGTGAAGTGAGAGTGACTCCTAATGCTCAGACAGACCACGAACGAGACCTCAGCCGAAACTCCGACAACCTCAACTCGACCCAGAAACTTTAGCTATTTATTGGTAGTGCTTTGGAGGTGAGGAGCTGGGTTTCAATGGTATTTTGTGTCATCTTTTTAGCTGGGTTTTAATGGAGAAAACTGCTGGAATTTAGGCTCGATCTCTTCGTGTTTTTGGAGGAGAAAGAAGTTGATTTTCAGGAGGTTTTCCAGCTGGGGTTTGGGGTTGTTTAGGCTGATTTTCATGCTGGTTTGACGTGATTTTGGGGTGTTTTGAGGTGGAAAAGAGCTTATTCTTAGCTGAGCTTTCAACTGATTTTCGGGCTGAGGGAGACCGTTTTTTTCAGGAAAAGATAAGCAGCAGCTGCTTAGTTTTTTGGCTATTTTAATGGCCGAAAATTGCTGCCCGTTTTTTGAGCTTTTCTTGGCTAAAAATTGAATGGAAAGTGGCCAGCTTTTCATGAGCTTTAAAGACTGATTTTTGAGGGTGCAAGATGATTCCTTCCTCCTCTTTTCATGCCCCTTTTCCCTCGTTGTCCCTCTATTTCTTCCTCCCTTTTTTGACTTTTTGTTGTATCTGTAAGAGAGAGTGGGAGTGTGAGTTGTAAAGAGTAAGAGTGGGGGAAGTGGAAAAATAGGTATTGGGGAGATGATTGCAGAAAATTCAAGCATGGCAAAAATTTAGGTGCTCACAGCATGCCCCTCTTTGCTTGCAAACATGAAGAGTTTTCAGGCAAAGAAAAGATGAGCGATATGACTAATTTTTGGCCATACCATTATTTAAAAGGGAAGAGATAAGAGAAAAGAGTGCAACCGAGTGTTGGTTTTGGACAACCTACATATCCCGGGTTATAAGGGAATCAGATCGCGTGTAGTTCAAGGAGAGTGATGGAATGATGAGTTGGAGAGTCAAGTGAGGTTCCGTCGAGGTTCCGGTCTGTGGTCCTGTTATTACATCAAAATCAAAAGAAACTAAACAAGCCTATCAGCTATGAGTTACAAGATTCCTATTTATAAGTCTTCTAAAACTTGATCTTGAATCTTGACTAGTTCTTCACGCAGACTCTGATCTGAACCTTGATGCTTGCTAGTTGCAGGTGCCAGTTCATTCTTCTACGGCCTCTTCTGATGAAGACGGGAAATGCAATGCTCGTGACTTCGGTCATGTCTTGAGCAGTTCACATCTTTTCATCCGCTTCTGCATTCTAGATTCACTTCTTTTTCTTTTCATTTCTTTATTCTGGATTGAGAATTCTTCTTTTGGTCATCTCGAACCCTGTGCCTCGAGGTAAAACCTGGTCAGACACCAAAACAAACAAACGAACGAAATTTTTCTGCCCTAATTTTCACTAGGAAAATTTCGTGTGTTATTGTAACAAAATTCTAAACTACTTATCTATTAAAAGCACTAAAGTGTCGGAAATGGTGTACCCTGGGAAAACATGAAGATGATTATTTTTTTTGAATGGTGTACCCTTCTTGTCAAAATGATGTCTTAACTAAGGATTGATGTACCTTATGTTGGAGAAATGCGACTAAGAAATGGTGTACCATATATTAATAAAGATGTCAGGGAGTGGTGTACCCTACATTTAAGCTCAAATCAACTAGGGAGTGGTGTACCCTACATTTAAGCTCACATCAATTAGGGAATGAAGATCCTATGTTGGAAAGTATAGCTAGGGATTGGTGTACCATATACTGGTAAGGAGACTAAGGAGTGGTGACCCTATGTCGGAAAACACAACTAGGGATTGGTGTACCCTGATACTGGTAAGGAAATATAACTACGGGTTGGTACCCTGTATTACGGAAAAGGAAATGTAACCAGGGGTTAATGCCCTATATTACTAGGAAGGAATGCAACCACGGGTTGGTACCCTGTATTACTATAAAAAAAAAAATAACCAGGGGTTGTTGCCCTGTATTACCGAACAGGAATGTAACCAGGGGTTGGCGCCTTGTATTACTGAAAAGGGAATATAACAAGGGGTTGATGCCCTGTATTACTGAAAAGGGAATGTAACCAGGGGTTGGTGCCCTGTATTACTGAAAAGGAAATGTAACCAAGGGTTGGCGCCTTGTATTACTGAAAATATAATGTAACCAGGGGATGGTGACCTATATTATNACTGAAAATATAATGTAACCAGGGGATGGTGCCCTATATTATGGAAAAGGAAATATAACCAGGAGTTGGCGACCTGTATTACTGAAAAGGAAATGTAACCAGGGGGTGGTGCCCTGTATTACAAAAAAGTAAATGCAACCAGGGGTCAACGCCCTGTATTACAGAAAAGCAAATATAACCAGAGGTTAGAGCCCTATATTATTGAAAAGGAAATGTAACCAGGGGTTGGCGCCCTGTATTACATAAAAGAAAATGTAACCAGGGGTTGGTGCCCTTTATTACTGAAAAAGAAATGTAACCAGGGGT